CACTTTAATTTGGTTATAAAGCTTTGATGGAAGTGTCATTTAACAAAATATCTTTGTTTACACCACTAAACTGGTTAACTTTATCTGAATTACATATAGCATTTTAAAGATAGGCCTACCTCAAATTGGTTTTTAAATTTACATAATCTATTCATTTATGTTTTATTCTAATATAAATTCCCCAAATTGATTTATTGTAACCCCAAATTGAATTACCAAGATTTTTAGATATAATTTTTTCTTGAAAGTGATAAAAGCATCTTTCTGTCAAAGCTCTATTATATGGCCAGTTGTGTCAAATTAGTATCAGAAGATTTTTAAAGAGTTTATTTGTGACTGGTGAAATATACTTGCATTTCTATCTGCAGAACTTTTCCTACTTACATTGCTAATGATGAATTTCTACCATATGCATAACGAAATGCATTAAAACTCTGTGGAGTCTTTCATTTCTCCAGTCCCTAATTTGGCATAATTCTAGTGTAGACCACTATAGATCAGACTGGATGGAAGCCTTCTACCATGATGGTAATAGTAGTACCCAAAGCTAGTTGGTGCTTAAGTAATTTGTCAATTCTCAGGAAAAAACAGTGACTTTGGGTGGATGAGCTTACCTTTCCTCAAGGAGATGCCGTTGAAAGTCAAATGATCCGATTTAACAATGACCACAAACTAAAAGGCAGGCAGTGGGACACTGCCCCTCCCCCCCATTCCTCCCAAGAACTGCATGGCTGAATAAAGGAAGAACATTTCATGTTAGGTACTGGATCATGAGACCTCCAAGCTAAAAGTTGAGACATAACATATGGGGGAAGGGATAGGGACCATTAAGCGTACTGGTTCCATACTGAACAGTGCTGTCCCAAATCCTGTAATAAATTCAGAGCCAGTCTTAGATTCCATGGGAAAACAATGACCTGAGCTTTCACAAGTGAATCGTCACAGTAGGAGCATCAGAGTATTTACAAATTAGGAAGATGCAAGATGGATGTGTGTGGAATCTCACTGCCGTGGTGGAATAGTAGAGGTCGTTTCATGACTGGTAGGCAGTCTACGACTGGGGATCTCAGAAGATGAGAGAAAATGACAGAAGCTGACCACAATACAGTTGGAGAGTTCTTTGCATGGATTGAAAAGATGCTCATTAAAACGCCAAGCAAAGATACTACCCTTTTAACTGGGGACTGAATGCAACATTGTTCTCATTAGTTGTGATGGGAAGCAGTGGACCTGGCCTGGGTTTGCACAATGAGAGATGGAGGCTTTTGGTTGAATTCTTCTGTCCAAATAACAGATATATTACATGTACTACATTCACTCATCTTGCTATGTGTTTATACAAATACTGGTCGTGATAATCTGAAAATCCAGCTTGAATGTCAGCCATATTCAGACATGAATAAATTGCCTTTTTTCTTTATTGCAGTGTACAGCCATTTTACTTCTGAATAAGAAAGTTCACATAAAATTTAGTCTGCCTCTTTTTTTCCCTTGAATAGTCTATTGGCATTAGGTATTTGAATCATATATGACTATTAAATTAATCTATAATTGCAAATCACTGGAAAAGTGAGGACAACTTGGCAGTACCTGAGAGGAAAAAAGCCTGTCTGAGTTGCATCTGGATCCTTTTGAAAGATGGTTTAGAATTTTAGGTCAAAACTAAGCTATTTTGATAGGTGTTTTCATTATCTTATTTTCTCAAAATCAGTTTATATGTTTAAAAGTATACATTTGATTTTTAGCTGAAAAACACAAGCACAAAACAGCCATAGAATTTACCTTTGAGTCATAAGTAACACATTTGTCAGGTGTGGTCTGTTATGGAGTTGAATAGGCATGTTACTTTGATGTCATTTGCACCATGTATGATATTTTGTAATCAGATGGAAGAGTATATCAGAATTAAATCAAATAGTATTGTGAAACACCAGCACAAATGCAGAGGCAATATTACCTAAAAACTTATATAGAACATCAGAAGGGACTCAAGTAAAAGATATTTACACTTTTTTTATTTTGTAGGATCTGCAGTCATTGTTAAAGTTATACACTACAGCCTGACTAGCTGTCTTCAAAAAATGCACTCCTGTTAAATCCATATTGCTTTGGTGCATATTGAGTAAATATTGTATCAGGTATACCATAATGAGGGATTTACTAAATGGAGTTAAATAGTTAAAATAATTAGAATAGTTAACATGCTAGATGTCATTAAGTTTGTACAGAAAGACTACATTTCTGTTGACAGCTAGTTGCAACCCACAGCCCTGGCCTTCAAAAGTCCAATCTTCTGTGTACCAGAGTGGTGGAAACTGGCCAGAATTATTACATTCCACATGAAAATTTGGTCAAAGGGATGAGTCGGTCTGTTTTCTGTTTCTCAGTCCCTTGGCAGGGGTATCGTGTCTGATAACTCTAGGGCAGAAATGAGAAGTTTAACTGTGGAGAAGGGAAGAGCCCAGCTTTCCCACAAGGAGCACGCTGCGGGTTGTGAGGTGACTGATATTAAAGAGAAAAGCAGTTGCAGTATACTCACAGTACACTTACAAATAGGAAACTAAGACTGAAAGGGACCTCAAGACATCATCTAGTGTGCCCTTCTACAAGGCAGGCTCATCCCCCAGCTAAGCTGTCTCAGCCAAGTGTCTGTCCAACCTGCTCTTGAAAATTTGCAGCGATGGAGATTCCACAACTTCTCTAGTAGCTTGTTTCAATGTTTGGCCATTCTCATAGTCAGAAACTTCCTCCTAATCTGCAACCTTTTTTTTTTTTGCTGCAGTTTGAGGCCATTGCTCCTTGTCCACTACACCCATAGAAGAAAACCCATCTCCAGCTTCTCTATAATCACCCTTCAGGTATTTGAAGACGTTATCAAATCCTACCCCCCAGTCTTTTTTTTTTCCCCAGACTCTCAACTTTTCCTCATAGGTCATGCGTCCCAGGCCTCTAATAATTTTTGTTGCTCTCCACTAGACTCTTTCCCTTCTGTCCACATCCTTTTTGAAGCGTGGGGCCTAAAACTGGACTCAGAGCTCTACACGAGGTTTCACCAGGGCTGAATAGAGGGGAGGTATCACTTCCCTTCATTTGTCACAGTACACTCCTGTTAATATAACACGCTATGCTGTTGACATCTTTTTTTGCTATGAGATGACACTGTTGGCTCTCGATCAGCTGCTGGTTGACTGTGACCCCCAAGTTCCTGTCTGCAGTGCTGCAGCTTAGCCAGTCATTCCCCAATCTGTATCTGGGCATGCAATTGTTCCATCCCAAGTGCAGGACATTGCACTTGACCTCCTTGAATTTCTTCTGCTTGATTTCAGGCCATATTTGCAGTTTATCAAGGTAATTCCAGAATACATTCTGCTATAATTCTAGTACAATTTTTTAAAACCTGTGAATGAAAGACTTTTAATCTGTCACATACTATTAGCATAGATAGTATAGGAGATGATGTTTTTTAAAGGCTTTATTGGCACGTATTGAGATGAATTTCATTATTCATTAGTGGGTTATGTGCGTGTTGCAGGCTCATGTTAGTAAATCCTTTCACACCGCAGAAAGTTATGCTGTATTTCATGCATCTGGGAATATCATATAGCGTATGAAATACATACATTCAGATTTGATTGAGGAGAATGCTCTTAATACACGTCTTCCAACCTGAAAACTGCTTTTATGCAGCAAGGTTGTTGGTTATAGCTGTATTGGTCTAAGGACACAGGTGTTTATGCCCAAAAGCTTGCAAAGAACAGTTTCTGAGGAAGCTGATATTGGCACACATTATTTTTGTCCTGGCTTCTCTCTGGATTTTGTTGGTGTATGCCTGTGTGTCAGTGGCACTGATATTTGGCCTGTGAAATAACTATGAGGTTTTATTAAAGGTTTCTTCAGCTACTGTTGCTGTGACAATAAAAGTTACACATGGTTACTAATGTATAGAGCACGCATTCTTTTTTCAGTGGCAGCAGGTCAATGATTTATTTTTTTTATCCCTATGTAGCTTTGAAGTGCAGCAAAGAAGTGAAATCTATTGAGAATAGTCTGTTAAGGTAAGTGTATTTATTACAGGGCATTGACAAACATTGCCTTACAACATTGATTTTTCTTATATTCAGGGATTTAAACACATGGATTAGAGATATAGCTGACAGGGCAACTTTAACCACTTGGTTGTCCCATCACACACACAACGCTGAGCAATAGTGAGAAGGAAAGTATCAGGGAAGAAGTTGATGTGCTGAGTTTGGCCAAATCTTCAAGCATGATTGCTGACTTATGCTTTGTTCACAGTGCTTAAGATATTCCAGCGTAGCTATGTTTATTAAGATTAATGCTAGGCATAATAAAAATGCATTGGTACTGCTTCTGGTCAATAGCTGAATAAAGCCAGCTGGCAAAATAAAACATTTAAAACAGAATGCAGAGTGGCATTTTAATCTGCTTCTAATAAATGTATTGTGATAGTCAGGTGTGTAATAGTATGCAGCAGACACCATCCTGCTTTGTGCAGAGTTAGCTGAGAGAGATTTCCAAACATGGATATTTTTGTTTGGTTGGTTCATTGGTTTTGTTTGATTTTTATCACATGGTTTTAAGTGGGTAAAAAAGCTAAATTTGAACTAATAGGTAGCCTTCTGTGTGGTATTACAATAGCTTTAGTTTTAAAGAAAAGCTTATCCCATTCAGCAGAAGTATCAAGAAGCGTGCAACTTAAATTGTTCTTTGATTCAGGTTTAAAAGCTGAAATACTTCATGGAGAAAAGAAATTGGGTAATAAATTGTGGACTATGATGGGGATCCACTTCCATCAAAAAGCAGGTTTAAAATATCCTATAATCCTATGTTTGGCTTTGACAACAGTTATCTTTTTATTTTGAGATTTTCTGCCATCATTTTCATAAGAGTTGGAGTTGAGAACTGTGGTAATTAAAGCAGCCTGAAACATAAAAAGCAGATTTAGAAATTCAAGATGGTCACATTATGCAGTGAGATTTTAAATTATTATAGTCTTGCAGTGTCATCAGCTGTAAACCATTGTGATCAACTGTTAAAACATTTGTTAAACAACAGATTTGTGTAGCATAGAAGCAATGAATGTATGGTATGGTATAGTATATGAGCTTAAATTTAATTTTTTTCTAGGCACGTTTGCATTTTATGACATGGTAAATCGATGTTTAATGTTTATATGCATAGTTAAGCTGTTTATAGGTAGAATAAAGCCAAAACAGAAATTGGAACAAATATTTATGTAGTCGATAGAAATATTTTGAAAAGGAAAACTTTTAGGGGAGGGAAAAAGTGTACCTTTAATTTATGTGGCAGCACCAATTTATATGTTTATAGCTGTTTGCACCTGCTTAATTATCTGTTTGTTAAGGAAATGCTGTATATAGTTTCCTTGGTGGCTGCTGTTATATCACAAGGTGATAAGTGACCTTAAACATGAACCTCACAGCTGTGCTTTAACCCCTAGTATACTAGTTCTGAGGCTTGTGTTAAAAAAAATCGGGAGAAAAGATAACTTGGCTTCCATCTCACTCTTCCCATACTTCTTTCCCAGTTACAGTGCAATCTGCACGTTAGTCCATCTCAAGGGGACGAGTTGCGTGGCATGCTTGGGTATGTGCACCTCTCTCTTGGGGTGCAACTCTTCAGTCCAACAATTTTTGCATGGGTTCTCTGGGTAGCAGTCTCCTTTTAGCCACCATGTTAACATGACAAGCCTAACTGTTCTTGGCACCTGTGAGCCTATTTTCTCCTGAGACCTGTGGCCATCAGCTGAATAAAGCAACTAAAAAAAAAAGATTCTTCAAAACAAATCATTATTTATTCACCCCCAGGTGCACAGCAAGCAGAACAAAGGATAAAAACAACAGCTATTTATAGGTGTATTTCCACCTGCCTAAACATTCAGCTTTACTGAAAGCTTTGGTGAGCTCTGTTCCATCGAGTCACCTCATTCGCCCCCAAACCAGTACCTTTTAAGGCTTCAATCCTAGATCATTCAGTCTGGGAAAATGAACTCTGAAAGTTTGCTTATAATCAGATGCAGGATATTCCCCAATTAAAAGCTCCTTCACTGTTAAAATAAATTATAACCTATTTCAGAAGGACTGAGTGAACAAAGTGAGTAGAGTGGCACTGTATGTCAGAAATGGCATGAGCTGTTTCTGAGTCGCTTACAATTTGAAAACCAATGTTCTCAACTAGGAGTGGATCCATGTTCTAATGCATAAAGCACAACTTCGGGCACCCAGTAGTTGGTATCATCTACAGGTCACAAAGTCACGGTAGAAACAGGGTGACCAGATCTTTAATCACCTATCTATAAGGTATAGGAGGAAACCCCCTGTTATTGTAGAGGACTTGGTCTCAGTGACATATCCTGGAAGTGTCATGCTGTTGGTACTAAAACTTCTTCTAGTTCTAAAAATTATAGATGAGTGTCCTAAATCAGAAGGTATTATGTCCATACAGGGTAAGTCTACATTAGGCCTCATGTTGACAGCTAAAGAGGATCATAGAACTACCAATTCATGGCTGCTTAGGTGCACATGATCATAACTTGACTACATTTCTGTAGAAAAAGAATAAAATACAGGAGTCACTAATGTGTACGTTTGGTGCTTTGAAAGGACCAGGTACTCAAAGCCGAAAACAATTGAGACAAATGAGCTGAGAAAAATAACTGTAAACAGAAAAATGTGAATCCTGATTGGACTAGTTAAGAATATTTTACCAGATTCTCAAAAGATTACACTCATCAAAAAAATCCAACAACCTGCTTTAGAGAGGAAGTAAAAGGTATGACCCCTTCCTCTTCCCACCTCTTTCTCCCCCCAGTATGTATCAAGGGGGTGGGGGGAGTAAGGTGATTGTGATTACTATAAATCAGAAATTAGAATAGAAGCAAATTGAGAAAGGAAGCAAGAGGATATGAAGCAAATTAAATGATCAGCAGAGATGAGGACAGTCAGTACTATTTGTAAAAGTGTACTAGGAAGAAAAAAATTCTGAACAAGTTGGGCTTTCACTAGATGGAAATGGTACAGCTGTTATTCAAGCAGAAAGGCACATGTATGCAGAAAACATTTCTTTTCTGGAAACAATAGATTGCATATTACTGGTTTCTGCAGTACAGTATATCCAGCCTCGATGGAGTTCCCTTTTCTCTAAGAGTTGGCCAACATGTAACTATTTTTCCCCAGTAAATCGTCCCTAATGCATTTCATATTTGTAGTTTAAAGAGGAAATTGATAGTTGGAAGCACTCACGATTCCTGGAATACCCCAAGAGAGGAGGTGCATTTTTGCCATGATTTGAAGTCCACTCCCTGGAGTGAGAGTTGTGTTTCTATAGAAATGAAAATATTTTCAGAGAAGAATTAGGGTATACTGTTAAATGAAAAACTGCAATGAGGACTCCTTCTAAAAGACTTCCTTAACCAATGACTAAAGTATCAACAGGGTTTCTGAGGCAATTTTCTTTAACCTTTGTTTAAAGACATTTTGCCTGATTTTTGTGGCTCTCCCGAGGTAGTTGCTTAAGATATGAATCAGTTTGTTTATGGTACCTCACTCAACTGAATAAAAAGGACTGCAGTCAACCTACACAAGAAATGTGCTCAGGTATGCCCAGATACCTATTGTATTTTAATCACTTGCTTCACTATATACTCTGCTTTTTGAGTATCCTTTCTAAGCATCTCATGAAGTGAACTTCGGGTCACAAAAGTTTGTGATCTATCTATCTATCTATCTATCTATCTATCTATCTATCTATCTATCTATCTATCTATCTATCTATCTATCTATCTATCTTATTTAGTTTGTCTATAAAGGTGCATACCTACCCTGGCTTCTGACTGACCAGAGACTAACATGGCTAACTACCTCTCTGTATATTCTTGTACATAGTTGTGTTAAACACATTGATTTTAAAATATTTACGTATTCTCTTGAGTGCAGTAGTTGCCTTTACCAGAGGGTCAGTTTGGTCTCCATACGTGAAAGACTTGTATTAACAAGTCCTTTTTTCAAGTCATAGTTGGTCATATGATTGGCATTCATTAAATATAATTGAAACATCAGTGGATTCCAGAAGAGATTCCTTGAATAGGAGCAATGTGCTGCTGATCAAACTGAGGTTCCATCTTTCTAAATACAATACATAAGCCATTAATATCTCAAATAAATGCTAGCACTTTAAGGTCAGTACAGAACTTGTGGACTGTTCTTGCTTTCCCTGGTAAAGTATGCCAAATTTTTTAGCTACAGCTTAACACTAGTTCTGTATGAATCCATAAGTGCTACAGAAGAAAAGCTTTAAAACATGCACACTGGAGTGAAAAAAAAGTTGTCTACTTAATCCTATTCATGAGAGAGAAAGTTGGTTCTTGTGATGTGAATTGAGGAGTACACTATGTGAAGAATGGGCATCAGGCTCATAATCAGGAATTCGCTTTTATATTCCCAGAAGAAAAAAAAAGTCAAATGTTTGTGTTTTGCCTTTTCCAGTTTATGGTCTGTGAAATGGACAGTAGGGAGCCCTGCCTTTCTCAGACTCAATCAGAATAGTGTCCTTGGGCATTTATAGATGTGCTCTGGGAGGCGATTTGAGAGTGCCTTAATCAGCACAGCTCCAAGAGCCAGGCTAATTTAAAGCACCTGGAACGTCATGTATATCAGTATCCCTGCACTGAAAAATGGTGGTGGGGTGATTTGAACCAAAGCTCATTGAACGAACTTCAGTTTTAAGCACCCCACCGCCACTTTTCATTTTTCAGCGCAGGGATGCTGATACACGTGATGCCAGAGTCTGCTGGAGCATGGTAATTACAGTGCATTGGAGCAGCCTCCTTGCATGTGTATAGGAGCCCATAGTGTTGAAATACTTTTTTCTCCTTCATGTTCATTGGCAGTAGTGTTTTTTGAAAAAAATCTTGTTTTCCCAAAGGCCTTACTTTAAGGATGAAATATCCAAAGACCATGAGTAAATGAAATGGATAGTTTTGCCACTAAAAACCTATATTCTGCCTTAGTCCACA